ACTCTAATTGACTCTGGATTTGACTTGGGTTCGTATTGTAAACCCACATTTGACTGGGTATGAGACACTTTTGTCTTCGGCTTTGAAGAAAAATAGTAATGTTTTCTAGTTCTAGTTGGATAACTAGAATATCTCCTTTTGGTCAGAAACTTCATCGGTGACCACGAGTGTATATATGACCAGTGTTATCAATGCGCAAGGCGCAATGCAAGGCCTAAAGTCTCTTCACATGTACATGCACAATGCGCAATATGATGCGCGTGCCTGAGTGAAGCAAGGCGCACAATACCACATAATTTTTCAAGATGGTTATCAAACATGAAAAAGCATGTTTTTATATTTTCACATAAAAACATGTCAAGATAAATAGTATCTACTATGAAATCACAAAAAAAGTCTCAATCTCTTATGCTAACACATCCAACATAGAGCGAAGTTCATAAAATCAAAAGTCAAATCAAGACTAAAATTGAGGTGAACTTATGGTCCTCAATTAAGCTACTATAAAGGCCTAACGATTTTATTTTACTTTTTGGGATATGAGTCATCGAGTATAAAAGCCCGATTGAAATGTTAAAGAACAAAACTATATGATGCTATGCCTAGCATGCACCCTACGCGAAGCATAGGTCACTTGTGAGGTACAAAAGGCGCTGTTGTATCAGATGCAGAGCGCTTTACCATCGCTCCGCATCACATGGCATTTAAGGCGCAGTGAGACGCACTCGTTTGAAAACACTGTATATAAAACCATCAATTATGAAACCATCAATCCCAAGCTTCTCCTTTTAACCCACACTTAGTATACTATACATCTCCTAATCTGACAAATCATAAATAATAACTAAATCTTATAAGTCTTGCATCCAAAGCTCACAATAATATCTTTCTTCATATCTATCAAATCCATAAAAATAAGGCATTTGCCGAATTTCAAATGATTAAATTCAAGTTGTGATGAAGTAGATATTTACCCATGATTGTCGTGGACTGCTAAACTTGCTCTGATACCAATTGACGAGGATCAAATTCTGATTGAATTAAAAAAAACACGATTGGAAAATGGACCGGATGAACATCAACCCATGAATAGTAATGGGCCAGCAGTACTTTTTTAAATAAAAAGAAATCTAAGATAAAAAAAGATAAAATGGGGTAGACCAGATTCACACAACTTCTAACCTATAAAACAATGGCTTCACACCTAGCAACTCATGCTTCGAAGAGAGATCTCTAAAACTCACATATTTCCATTAATCATTGTCTTTTCCTCATGGAGGATGCATCTTATTTTATAGAATAAACTTAACATTAAAGATAATATTGAGTCGCCTAAACCTTATCTAATTAAACTGAAAATATTATCCTAACCAAATATCTAACAAAAACATCTAAAATGATAAACTCTCAAGCTGTAAATCCCTATCAACTAAAATTGAATCTCCTAAATAAAATCTAAACTAAGTACCAAATTAAATAATTCAATCCAAATAAAATTTGCTCAATCTTAACTTGACCTGCGTCATTCCGTATACCATCCCATGTTCCATGTAAACTATGAGTATGATGTTTTTGGAATAGTAATAACTATGTTTAACGAAAGGGCTGGACCCAATTTCTTGTAAGGGCCTTCTTTATGCCAAGAAATGTATGCATATCACAACCTTGCTTTGACATATATGATCCATGGCAGAGCTAGAGTAATCTGGAGCATCTTTACGCCAAGAAATGTATGCATAACACAACTTTGCTTTTACATACAGGATCAATGATATATCATATAGCTAGAGTAAGTCCTTAAGATATCATTTCCGGATTGAGCACATGGTAGAAAATATTGGTTGTTTTCAATGCATCAGATGGTTGTCTAAAGCTATAAATGAGGTTGTGTTCTATGTTTGCATGATAGAGACAATGGAACGAGACAAAAGTGGCTACATAACCATCCATCATGTGGAGTGGCTATACATGAGATATATATACTGGGAAGTGACATTATAAGGGGACAACAATGTTATATTAAGTTAGTCTGATGTTTTTTCTCATGTATAGTGATAATTAGATGTGATTTGCCTTTTTTTTGTTATTTTCCTACATGTAAAATCTAGAGTCCAATGATCATAATATGTAAATGGTATGCAACGGAAATGTGTTGTAGCTGCATAATATTTTTGGTTATAGAGGTTTATGTGTATATTTATGCATTGAGATAGACTTGGCTTAAATTCTTCATTCAAATTAAATGATAGGAAAACTTAATTTAAGATTGATGTGACACAGAGTAAAAAAGGATGAGAAGTGATCAACGGAGGGGAACCTCACATATGATAAGCAATCCTAAGAGTCAAATAGGTATTGATAAATCCTAAAGAAACAAACTGTACACTTGCAAATAAAGTTTCTAGAACTTAAAAATATCTGTTAAGTATGAAAATCATTTTTCTTGATCGTCCTCTTAGTACGCTAGATTGTTAATATATGGAGAGAATTTTGAAATAAACCAATTCCGATTTTTTTTAAAATCAAAATCAGCCTATTTTATGTTTAGTTACCAAAATCGACCAATTTTCAGTCATGTCAGAAATGTATGTTGAAAGTTTGTTGTTTTTTAAAAAGATATAGTTTTTAGACTTACTTACAGGATTGTCAATCCCATGTAATTAGCAAATTTCACTTATATACGGGATTAGCAATCCCGTATATTGTACTTACATATTTTGGCAAATAATGCAATAGGTCGAGTGGTCTAAACCTAGGTTTTTAAGCTTCTCTTTGAAAAAGACTGGGTCCAAAACTCACATTTGTCATATATGGATGTGTTTAATTTTTTTCTTTCTTTCCTTTGTATGTTTATAAAATTTTGCTTATCCGAACATACGGGATTGACAATCCCATGTGTGATTTACAATCCCATGTGTGATTTGCATCTTTTATAATTGGTGGAGAATAAGTTTAATTAAAATATAAAAGGAAAACTATTTGATAGACATGGGATTTGAACCTAAACCCGTTTAAAACAAAGCTCAAGTCTAAGAGCGTGTTTGGCAACTTTGGATTATAATCCAATTGGTTTACAATCCATTTGTGCATTATAAGCCAAAATGTTTGGTAGATTTTCTGGATTTTAATCCATTTTTAATAGTAGTGTGTGTGGCAAATGGGTGGCTTATTGTCAAAGTGACCAAGAAACTTATATGGGATTGGACATAGATAAATAGGATTTGGAATTTTAAAATGATGAGGGGTGAACTTTTACTTAGTCAACCCTTGTGGTTTATAAGCCACCAAAAAATAAGCTGCTATTTGCCAAACATGTGAAAGTGACTTATAAGCCACTTTGACCACTTGTCAAATATGTGCTTAACACTATAGACCACTTGACCAAACTATGGGATTTGTAAAAATTTTTAAAGTAAACTATACAGGATTGCCAATCCCATATAACTAGTGAAATTTGCTAATTACACGGGTTGACAATCCTGTAAAGCCTAAGAACTGTACTTTTTTTTAAAAATAACAAACTTTCAGCAGATGAAAATTAGTCGATTTTGGAAATTAAATATAGCTGGGCTGGTTTTGACATAAAAATTGGAATTGGTCATTTTAAAATTTTGTTTTTAATATATTTACAACAGTCTCAATAAAATGAAAGGAAATTGATCGAAGAAATACTTTTATGGTTCTAAGGTCAAATAAATGTCAAGTGTTAGGTTTTTGGAGATGAGACTCTTGAGATTATGTCTGCTAGATTGAGTGGAAAGGGGATTAAAGTAAAGAAGGGATCCATTTATGAGTTTAAAATTTGTGAAGGGTTGGTGCTGTTTTTGTAAGGAGTGGAGAGGATTGAAGTGGAGCTTTGATGCGATGAAAGGAGGTGACAACTAGTGAAGGAATTAGGTTTTGAATAGTGTCCCGTAGTTTGAAAGGAGAAGGATGGTACCCATGCAAAGGGACATCCAGATTAGGGTTAGCATTTGAGATGTATTTGTTTTTAAGGAGAATGAGGCATTGTCATGGAGAAATAGGGATATAGGTTAGAATTTTGTTTTCAAGCCTTAGGAGAACATTCATATGCAAATTCCACTTAAAGCAATCAAATAACTTGAGGATAGATATTTACAGGCACAAAGGATCCAAGTTTACATAAAAATAGATAAGGTTATAACTAAAATTTCTGAAATAAAGTAACTAAATCGTAATCACACTACGGTTTCTTTCTGTAAGATCCTCGAAAGTTATCTTCATGTGATCCCCATCAAAGTCCCACTCCAGTTGAGTTGACCTATACCCTTGGTAGTGTCTACGATTTCTTGCCTGTACAATTAAACTGGGAGAAAATGGATGGCAAGTAGTATGGTTGTTTGAATCTACATTTAAATCCAAAACATTTGGCATGCATGGGTTTTAAACAGTTTACATGATGAATCATGATTAAAGTTCCAGGTTCTCAATCATCCTATGACCTAAACCTTGTCTTGTTTGTACTTTTAGCTCCTAATCCCTCTTGGATGCCTGGAATGGCTTTAGCAAACTTCTAGTGGCTCCATCAAGCGTGCATAGTCTGCATAAAAATAAAAGGTTGGCATTACATGGACATTGCAGAGATTCAATCATGGATAAGTACTAATAAAACCGTTGCCATTGTTGACATACCTTGTAAACTAGTTACACATTTGAAATTTTAGCGCTAAAAGTCACAAGGTTTCCAGATTATATACCTAATGTATTTTGATGGAATATAGTGCTGTATCATGCACAGTGATAGATCAGCTGTTCCACATTTGAAATTTATAAGTAGTTACAATCACAGTGTTATTCTTTTATATGGTATTGAGTTCTAGTAAGCATTGGTAATAAATATCCTGCTGATCAATCTTTAGTGGAGGCTCATAGTTCTTGTTGATAGCCTACCTGAGGAATACCACTTCATTGATACCTAGTTTTCCTTAACTCTTAGTAATATATAAATTTCATGCAATGACAGCCTTAACCCATGCTAGGTTTGCTTACAAGCGATGAAGACCGTATTGAAAGAGGTGGACAAAACATTACGGATGGTCAGCTCATGAAGAAAGCTAATACTAAAGAAACCGATCAAGAAGCTTCAAAAGTGAATTTAAATGATCAAATTCAAACTGACTTTGCTGACTGTATCTTGAAATGCAAATCAGTGTTCAAGTGCAGGCTTTGCCCAAGAATTGTCTGCTTAAGCGAAGACACTGTCAAGGCACACCTTAATTCAAAGGTAGATCATATATCTGTGAATAATGCATGGTTTCTTCGCTTCTAGTTAAATCTTTGGAAGTCTTAATACAAGTTTGCCCCTTGTTTTTGGCCAATGATATCTTTATATTCCAGCGCGTTCCATGCATCAAAACAAAGTTGGAGGAACTCATAAAGGCACCATAATGAAACATGTTGTGCACCAATGATTTAAAATCCATAAATTCCTCTTTGAAAACTTCAAGAGTTTGAGTGAAGTAGTATATGCATGTGCACAAATGAGTATCTATGACCAGTCATGTCTATTTTACTGTTTCAAATGTGTCAGTTTCATTGTTTATTTTGCTTTAGGACGTAGGAGTACTGCAATTACTTGGATGAATACTCATAGAACATGCTTTTGTTCATCGTCTCAAAACTTCAATTCTCATCTGATGGTTATGGTACATGGTGTGTTTTTAGCATTTCATCTTTTTTGGTTTGTAGAGACATGCTCGGTCAAAGAAGCTACTTGACGAGGGGAGGTTAAAGTTGATGCTTAATAGTGATGGTGAGATTGAGGAGGACCAAGAAACTCATGCAGAAAGGCATCTTCGAACTGTTGCTCTAGCTCAGGTACCTAAATTATAACAAATAGATCAATGATACTTCATAAACAACGAAAATATTTATTCCTAAGTATTACTTGATCTTCAATACTTACTCTGAATTGAGGTTGGTCACTGTTTCTTTGTTTTTCCTGAAGCTTGTATACTTAATAATTAATTTCATTTACCCTCTTCTCCATATACCCTTTTCTAGTACAGGATGATTCTAACCCTTATCGCTAAAATTTAAAATTGTAGTAACGCACAAGTTGAGTATTCTTACCTGTCAACTAGTATTTTGGTTTTTATGACAAGTACTTGTCTTGTCAATAACTGCCTCAGGCCCTCAGCTATTCTAAATGACGAATTGATGATCACGTTGTCTGTTGGAGTTGCGGAAGCTTGATGGGTAATTGATTTTAGTTTTAGAGGATTGAGAATAGAGGAAGTAGAATGGAAATGAGAAGTTGGAAGGGAAGAGACTAGCTTGAAGAACTTTGTTTTAATTGCTTCAATTTTTTTTTCACAATGTTTACATCCATTGCTTATTTATAGGAACATATAGAACTATCTAGAGCATAGATATTTTACATGAAACATTCTAGAGTATATTATAATATTCCTATATTCTAGATACATCTTATTTTTGTCATATTTTTTGTCCTAGTTATCTCTAGAAGCTTTCCATATTACAAGGTTATTATGAAGTGTTCTAGAATTACAAATTATTTTCTAACACCCCTCCTTAATTTGTAATTCCTAACTCATTTCTAAATAGTATAAAATTTTTGAAGGGTAATGCTTTTGTGAAGATGTCTGCTAGCTGCTCATTTGTTGAGATGAACTCTAGCTCGATCTCTTTATCTTCAACGAGCTTTCTGATAAAATGATGACGAATTTCAATATGTTTGGTTTTGGCATGGAAGACTGGATTCTTTATCATGGCTATTGTTGACTTGCTGTCACAGTAGAGAGTAGTCGGTGACTCTTAATCTTGTTGTAAATCAGATAAAATCCTTCGAAGCCATACTGCTTCACATGCGGCATTTGTAAGTGAGATATACTCTGCTTCTACAGATAAGAGAGCTATGATATGTTGTTTCTTTGAGGTCCATGATATTATCTTAGATCCCAGAGTGAAGACATATCCTGAAGTGCTTTTGTGATCATCAATACATCCAGGCCAGTTGCTGTCAGTGTAGTCAGATAATGCATTGTCTTCTTCTATTGTATATTTTATTCCCATACTCTTTGTACCTTGAAGATATCGAAGAATCCGCTTCGCTTCTCCATAGTGTAGCTTACTTGGATTGCTCATGTATATGGACACAATGCTTACAACATGCAATATGTCCGGCCTTGTATTTGTGAGGTAGATTAGCGATCCGACTAGGCTTTTGTAACTTGAGGCATTCACCTTTGGCGCTCCATCGTTCATTGATAGTTTTTCATTTAGCAATGTTGGTGTAACTATTAGATTACAATTCTTCATGTTGAACCTCTTCAGCAGATCTTCGCAGTACTTCTCTTGATTGATGAATATTTCTCTTTCAATTTGTTTTACTTGTATTCCCATAAAATAGCTCATCAATTCTAAATCTGTCATCTCAAAATCTTCTTTCATCTTCATGTTGTCAAAGTCTCTCCATAAAGATTGTAGCTTGATAAAGATTACCTTATCGGAGCCCTTGAATTCTTGTTTGAGTATGTCCCATGCATCCTTTGATTTTGATGTGGACATTATGTGGGGAAATATTGCTTTGCTTATCCCTTGTTGGATAAAGAGAAGCGTCTTCGCATCCTTTTTTTTGTTCTTATACTCCTTTTGCTTTGCCGGTGTCGTGATGCTAATATTGCCGAGTTATCTAGACCCTCATAGCCTTCTTCGACAAGCTCCCAAAGTTCTTAAGAAATGAAAAGTGTCTTCATTTGGAGGCTCCAGAAGATATAGTTTTCGCCGTCGAAAATGGGGACTAAGTTTTTAGAGTAGTTGAAAAGAGAAGGGGCAATTGGTGATAAAGCTGCCATTTAGAATGGTAGTGATAGGTTAAAGGCTTTTAAGATTGATTTGAGGTGGAATATGATGACTGATACCAAATTTGTTGGAGTTGCGGAAGCTAGATGAGTAATTGATTTTAGTTTTAGATGATTGAGAATAGAGGAAGTAGAAAGGAAATGAGAAGTTGGAAGAGAAGAGGCTAGCTTGAAGAAACTTTGTTTTAATTGCTTCAAAGTTTTTTTTCACAATGCTTACATCCATTGCCTATTTATAGGCACATATAGAACTATCTAGAGCATAGAAATTTTACATGAAACATTCTAGAGTATATTATAATATTCCTATATTCTAGATATATCTTATTTTTGTCATATTTCTAGTCCTAGTTATCTCTAGAAGCTTTCCATATTACAATGTTATTGTAGAGTGTTCTAGAATTACAAATTGTCTTCTAATATTGTTTGGTACTAAAATTTGTTTCCTCTTCGTTTGGTGCCTTTTTAAAGTTGTTCTCAGCCAACATTTAGAAAATCAATAGAACTGTTAAATTCTCTAGCATTGATGATAATTTTTAATTTTTATTTTTCAGGAACCAGTTGCTCCAGTGAAAAAAGATAAAGGTCGTCAGCGACAAAGCCAGAGGAGGAAGAAGGTAGCTGCACTCCTTAATTGGTTAGCTTCAACTCTTGACTCTTTCGATTCTCGATCTATTCGATGCTTTGACGAATAGCCGAGGTTCTTCCGGCGCTGCGTTTATCGCCAAGACACCCTTAGCCAAGACACCCTTCGGGTGTTTCGTCCTGGCCGGGATGCCCCCCGGGTGTCTCAGTCTGGTCCGAGGCTATTCTAGATATATCTTATTTTTGTCATATTTCTAGTCCTAGTTATCTCTAGAAGCTTTCCATATTACAATGTTATTGTAGAGTGTTCTAGAATTACAAATTGTCTTCTAATATTGTTTGGTACTAAAATTTGTTTCCTCTTCGTTTGGTGCCTTTTTAAAGTTGTTCTCAGCCAACATTTAGAAAATCAATAGAACTGTTAAATTCTCTAGCATTGATGATAATTTTTAATTTTTATTTTTCAGGAACCAGTTGCTCCAGTGAAAAAAGATAAAGGTCGTCAGCGACAAAGCCAGAGGAGGAAGAAGGTAGCTGCACTCCTTAATTACCCTTTTAACATGCGTTCTAGTTTAGTCATACAATACAAATCATTTCCCACAAATTATTTATAATATTTTATCATATGGCTCTTCCTTCTACTGTTTTAGGTGATAAAAAGATTGCTGAAAGAGATTTTACTTGTATTTTTTTGCAGAAACAGCTGCATAATAGCTCTAGCAAAGGAAAGTCGGGTGAATTGACAAAAAAACCCAAGAAAAAGCATCGCAAGAACGAGGTCTGAAGAATTATGGCCGCTTGCTGAAAATTCTACAGTTTGTTTGTTTCTTAGAAAAAAAAGTTTGGGATTCAAAAGCAATAACTTGAGGGTTTACCAAGTTATGCTTCCTTAGTAGCATCTCAAGTTTGAGTTGTTTCTTTTTCTATGTTGCATTTAGCACAAGTTTTTCTCTCAAGCTGAATTTTTTTGGGGGGATTACAGAGTTAATGAATGTTAAAATAAAAAATATTTCGGCTTTGAAAATATTGTATGATCACATGTCATGTTTGGCAATCCCTGAGCCGGGTACTGGGATGCCGTCACGGCCATCAAGAGCCCTGCCACGCAACCGAGGCGGTGACCTTCCCTTAAGCTCACCGATGAATCTGGTCACTGCCCTGACTTCCTTCTTTTTGCTGGTGGAGCTGCGGTGAAGGGAGGGCCCATTTTGGCGCAGTTGAGTTCTTGGCAACTGGAGCTCTGTTGCCACCAAAGAAAGCCACCATTGCTGTCAATATCGTTGCAGCTTTCTTGTCATGAACAAGGCTTTGCTCTGGTAGTTCAGTGGCTGTAGACTTCAGACATTGCGGAGTGCAGACTGAGAAGATGAAGGCTATTGGTGAGGATATTATGTGTTTACGGAGAACTTGGATCTGAGTTCTCTTTTGCCTAAGGGGATGTTTGGTACCTTGTAGCTATAGTTACAATACAAATGTTGCTTGTACGCAATTGAGATGTCGGGACTATTCTTGCGTGCCACTGTAGTTACAATGGTTCAATTTTTGAATTTTTAACTTCCTTATGCAACTTGTCTTTTAGATTTAATAAATTGAAAATACTTCATGTGTACGAACAAAACACATGAAATAAAACTAACATGCTCAAAACAACCTAGACCAGTTGACTGATCATGTGACATCGGTCGACTGATGGCTTGCACAAAGCGTGCACAACAACCCTGATCGATCGACTGGTAGTCTATGATCGGTCGACCGACCCGAGCTAATCAAAACCCCTATTTGTTAACATCGGTCGACTGATCACCAATGATCTTGGTGATCAGTCGACCGATCTGGGCAAAAAAACCAATTTTCGGGGAAAAAGTTGTATGTTTGCTTATATTCATCAAAACTAGAAATTTCTAAATAAAGCCCATCTATAAAAATTAAATCAACATAATTAGGGTTATACCTACTACATGAAAACACACTAAAAGTCTATTTAAGGGGATTTAATAACCCTAGCATGCTTCTAATTGTAAAACCATCAAGAAAACAACTATCTTGAACAAAAACTCATATTATATCACGTTTAACACTTAAATCCAAAACTGAGAATTCATTTTATGTCTTTTAAATCAAAAAGATTAGATCTTTATATCATGCAGTTTAAAAAGAAGTGATCTTTATACATAAACTAGGTTTAGAAATCCAATAAAATCATATAAAAATATTTAAAAATGGGGGATGGGTTTGGAGGAGATGAAACTCGCCTCAAAACGTGTTGAACTCCCCAAATATGCAAGAAACACGGTCATCCTTTGTCGAAAAGCCCATGATCTCTCCCTCCTCTTGATTTTGCTTCTCAAAGTTTGCAAAATTCACCAAAATACGATCTAGGGTTTTGAGGTGAGAGGGTGGCTGTTTATTCATGTGAAAGATGAAGGAAAACATGAGAAATATCGTATATATATACTTATATACACAAACGGGCCGAAACAAAACGAAACTGACCTTAAACCAAATTCCCAGTCGGTGCACCCATTGGTCGACCGATGGCTTGCCATCAATCGACTGATAAGTGCCTATCGGTCGACTGATGGCTTGCCATCGGTTGACTGACCAGAGGTGTACCTCTGCTGACTGATTCCTTGTGTTGTGCATGTTTACACTATCAAACATATGTAAATATGTACTTAATTGATCTCAAATCGACTACAACCATACACATTCATCCCAGAATAGCATCAATCATATTAAAAATCATTTATCACTATTTATCATAATAATTTCAAAATTTTAGGGTTTTGCATGATGCCTCTGCAATAGGCACAGCTGGCACGATTGGTGGTGGAACCACAAGAGGTGGTACTACTGGCGGAACCTGGTTCGTGACTCGCTCCTCGAGCGCTGCCAGTCTAGCTACAATCGGCGCCATGAGATCAATCAAATATTGTGCAGCTTGCTGTAGCTCGGGCTCTGACTCAGCTTGCCCAGCTCCCTGAGTACGGGTTCTATCACGACCACGTCCTCGTCCTGACATCTATAATTTCAGGGGAGAGCTAATTCGACATAGTAAATGAGACCACAAATAAGAATATTATAGCATATAACAATAGGAACATATAAAACATAGTATTCTCGAAAATACTTTATAGTTAAAGTACGTTAAGCATAAAAAAATTCAAAATTTTCAAATCATGCGCATTACGGCCTCACTCAATCTAAGAATTCCTAGCGAACTCTAAATATGAGCCCTAGGAAACTCTACACTAGCTCAACGACTCAACACATCATATCTTAAAGATACTAGAACTAGAGCTCTGATACCAACTGTGACGTCCCTGGTTTCACACATGGCTGCAGTCCAACGTGAACCCAAGGATGTCAAACCTGTCATGCACCCAACACTGTGCATAAACATATTTCACCATCACATTAATATCACTCTAGCAGATGTCAAATAATAAGAAGTGAGGGTATAAACAGATATAACAAAGATGATAATACAAGAAATAGAAATATAAAGAAGAGATATCCAACAACATCTATAAATTTGTTTCAACAGAGGAAAATAAAGAACAACTGATAATCTGAGATGATAACAATGAGTCTCTAAAACGAAAGAGTCGACTGAATAGTATAAAGACACTCAACCTCCAAAATAAAATACATCTTTACAAGACTTAAAATAGTAAATAAACTATTGTGGAGCACTAATTAACTATCTATGAATGACGATAACTATGCGGAGTCTCCGTCAATCTGCAGCTCTCTGAATCCCTAACCCGCAACCTGAAAAAGATGGAATCAACGAGCATCAGAGCGCTAGCAAGAACATCTCCACCGCCCCCAGGGGGACGGGGTTAGGAGTATAAAATACTAATGAATCTAAGGTGACACCCTAGGCTCCCACCTAAGGACGCGGCCTAAAATCACATCATTTCCTTTTTTTTATACGATCCGCTCTGTTGAAGTTGATCTACACGTTCTTAAACCCAAACACACCAATTTTAGGATGAACCCGTTGTGTTTTGACCATTCGTTGAGCCGTGCAAAAAGTTCTATTTATTCGAAACCGTTAAAATTATAACGACTGGATAAAGGGTCAAAACACGACGGGTTCATCCCAAAATTGGTGTGTTTGGGTTTAAGAACGTCTAGATCAACTTCAACAGAGCGGATCGCAAAAAAAAAATTAGGAAATGATGTGATTCTAGGCCGCGTCCTTAGGTGGGAGCCTAGGGTGTCACCTTAGATTCACTATTCCCTATATATATATATATATATGTATATACATATATATATATATATATGTATATATATATATATATACATATGTATATATATACATATATATATATATATACATATATATATATATATGGGAAAAGTGAATCTAAGGTGACACCTTAGGCTCCTACCTAAGGACGCGGCCTAAAATCACATCATTTCCTAAATTTTTTTTACGATCCGCTCTGTTGAACTTGATCTAGACGTTCTTAAACCCAAACACACCAATTTTAGGGTGAACCCGTCGTGTTTTGACCCTTTATCCACTCGCTGCAATTTTAACGGTTTCGAATGAAGAACTTTTTGTACACTGCTCAACGAATGGTCAAAACACAACGGGTTCACCCCAAAATTGGTGTGTTTGGGTTTAAGAACGTGTAGATCAAATTCAACGGGGCGGATCGCAAAAAAAAAATTAGGAAATGATGTGATTCTAGGCCGCGTCCTTAGGTGGGAGCCTAGGGTTATATATATTATTATAATATATATATATATATGGGAACAAGTATATATATTATAATATATATATATTATATATATATAATATTATATATCATATATATGGGAAAAGTGAATCTAAGGTGACACCCTAGGCTCCCACCTAATGACGCAGCCTAAAATCACATCATTTCCTAATTTTTTTTACGATCCGCTCTGTTGAACTTGATCTAGACGTTCTTAAACCCAAACACACCAATTTTAGGGTGAACCCGTCGTGTTTTGACCATTTATCCACTCGCTGCAATTTTAACGGTTTCGAATGAATAGAACTTTTTGTACGGCTCAAACGAATGGTTAAAACACAACGGGTTCACCCAAAAATTGGTGTGTTTGGGTTTAAGAATGTGTAAATCAAGTTAAACGGAGCGGATCGCAAAAAAAAATTAGGAAATAATATGATTCTAGGCCGCGTCCTTAGGTAGGAGCCTAGGGTGTCACCTTAGATTCACTTTATATATATATAATTGTGAATCGCTAAATGTCAACTCCCAAAAAATCCTATGAATAAAATAATCAACCAAGAAATACATTACTAACACCTCATCCAAAAATATGTCGTACATGTCGTATTGTAGTATTTCACATTGCCCTCAGGTAGGTGGCACGATAGAAAATATACAATCCTTTGAGAAACTTGTCAAAGTATAAACCATCACATATGGAAGCCACAATGCTGGACCACATCTATAATCAATGCTCACCTAAGTCCTAGGCATCCCAACGATATAGAGTGTAGTCATCTGTAATACCATGTGGCTCACGGACTAATGCACTCGGAGTGCAGTCACACACAATATCATGCAGTTCATGGACATGAGCACTCAACCACTGAAATAATGATGTGATGCATCACAGAGTGTAGTCACCCACTAAATCTCATACAGTACACGAACTAAAGCACTCAGAGTGTAGTCGCTTGCATTCTCTTGCGGTGCACGGACTAACGCACTCAAGCATCCAAAACCATCGTAAACCGAAACAATCGTCACTCCCTATCATGAAAAACACAAAACGTTAGACTACGCACTTCCGAAGGCTCGTGCATGGTCAAACCCTAAACATGCACTCTCATGGTCACGCACGTGTATCGACGGGTGGCTCGTTCTTCATGTTCACGACCAAACATGCGTGGAAGATCACCATAAGAAAAAAACAGCAGACCAGTCGACCAACCTTGGGAATCAGTCGACTGACACTTGATCAGTCGACTGATTGCCCATCAGTCGACCGAGTGCGAACGTGCACAAACATGCACTAACAGCAAAGTCTCCATCGGTCGACTGATGGTATATCGGTCGACCGTCCTGAGGAAAATCATACAATCCTCAGGGTCAAATTGATCGACTGATCCATAGGGTCAGTCGTCCGACTCGAGTACTGGAACAAAAACGTAGTTTTCATGAAGTTAATCGACTTTCTCATAAAGAACTCGTGAAAATATTATCATAGGGTGTGAAAACATGTTTAAATCTTGTATTTAACAAAGTAGGGGCTTCGCCAAGCAAGTATACGTAAACAAAACATGGATTTTGGGATTTAATCTCCCTAAACATCACTAATCAGATTTTAGTTGATTAATTAGGGTTCTAGTCCTAATCAGTTCATCAATTAGCAACTACATGTCTTTTCTTCATTTAGTGTTCGGACCTATAGATCTATTCATTAATTTAGGAGTTAAACCATTAAAAATGAAAATCTAAGGGGATGAGTTTGGGAAGAGATGAACTTGCCTTTTGAATTCGTTTGATCTGTCAAACGTGCGAGGAACTTGATCTTCCTTCACCAAAGT